CCCCCCCCCCCCATACACTCGAGCGCGTGTTAATCTGGACCTGGGCTGAAAGACAACTATAACAACAAAAACAACTAAGGGCTCAGATTCAGGTTCAGAGCGTGATAGCTCAGACTCTGGTTGTTTCAGATTTTGGTCTCATTTATTTTTTGTATCCTCCTTTTCAGCACCAGCACACCAGCACTGGCGCTGCTTGCGTGGTTACGTATCTTCTACCAGGCAGGGTCGGAATCCGATCGGTTCTCGGAATCGCGCCCGGACTCATGGCCTGGAATCGGAGTATTTTCCAGAAAAAACGGACTCAGGCTCGGACACAGGCTTACCGTCTATAAAAAGAATGACGATGGACTCGGTACTCATCACCGAATCGTTGGATGAGCACTCATAGCTCCGGGACTTCGTGGCTCAAACTAGGAAGGCTTTGTGATTAGATCCATGTGTGCTCTTATCTCCACAACACTTAATGAACAATGGTGGGCGAACCCACGAACCACGAACAAACACGAACACGAACACGCCGCCGCTACCTCCAGGGAAACTGGACGCGCACAGATTCGTCCGTTTTACTGTCCGTGTAGCCATCGGCAGCTACGGTGCGCGCGGGTGTGGGTGACGGTGTGGGTGACGGCGGCGGGTGGGAATGTCACGGGTTGACACTCCCAGCCGCCGCCGCGGTTGAGGCGTCACCAGCGCGGCGAGGCGTCACCGACGTGGTTGAAGTGCTACAGGCGCGGGAAGGGGACACTGCCGCTCGAGCATTCTGTTCACTCGTAACAAGGACGGCAGTGCTCTGCCTACAGGCGACCATTACACGAGCACTTTGACGGCCGTCCGTGATAAGCCGCTCGTCTGTTACACTAGAGTTTGCTTTGAATTGAGCGTCGCGCCACTTACCAGTGCAAAGCTGCTGAGAATTGTTCTAGCTGACTTGGAGCAAATAAAAAATACAACAGTGTCAAACACTTTTGACGATATCATTGTGCATGGTAAATAAAAAGTTTTCAGAGGTGCTGGCTGACCTGGACGCAGCGCTGTCGCGACTTCAGGCGGCGTGCCGACTTTGAACTTGCGCAAGTGTGGGTTCTCTCAAGAGCAGACGAAGTTCTTGGGTCATGTTGTCTAGAGATGGGATGGCTACTGACCCAGAAACGATCGAGGAAGCTCGGGACTGCCCAGAGCCAGGAACGGCCGAGGAACTGTTCAAGTGTGTGCAGAATGCTCCCGACATTTCTGCGTCACTTTTCAGTTCAGGCAGGAAGGACGTACCTGTTCAGTGGAGCCACCAAGCGTCTGGCGTGTTCGGCGGTCCGAAAAAAATTGCTCTCAGAAACCCCGGTGGTGGGTTTCCAAACTTTGGTTAAGAGACGGGCGTATTTACCTTGGACTGCAGCGCGAGCAGCGAAGGTGTTGGTACAGTCCTGATGCGGGGAAGCAGGACGGAGTGAACTGTGTGATCGAGTACGGTAGTCAGCGGTTATCGAAGGCCCAGCAAAAATTATTCCGCCACAAAAAGGAACTTCTTGCATGTGTGCCGTTTGTGCAACAGTTCGTGTACTACCTGGAAAACGCTT